AATGTTAATTAATTAGGGTGATTTAAATTCTGGCCACAGAGGGCTCCTGGCAATTTCAAAGTCCGTATGTTAAAGGTTAATGAAATTCTGAGTATAAAGAATGTCTAACTAGACACTTTTTAAGTGCCTTTCCACTTTCGTTTTTCAAACATATTTGTAAAACTAAAGTTGTATACATATTCTCTACTACTACGCAGTCTTACCCGATGTGCATGTGAATGACTTCCCCCTAGTTCAACATAGACAGCATCCTTGTCATACACAATGCCTCCAACTCCTGAGAATGGTGCGTAAATCAACTTCTCCTTTTCCACAAGACTTCTCTTCTTCAGTTTATCTGGCAATGGACATGGGTCTGGGAGATGTGAAACATCATGAATTTTCAGATCTCCACAACCTGAAAATTCAAAATGTACTACCTTAGAAATTTTGTAGGAGCCGGGGTAGCATAGTGTGTATAGCGACTGGAAGACTGAGAGGTGAGAGTTTCAGTCCCGGTAGAGTCAAGAATTTTCTCTTCTCCACATCGTTCAGACTGGCTCTGGGGTCCACCCAAACTCTTACCCACTGAGTACCACAGGCTCTTTCCCCAGGGGTAAAGAGGCTGGAGCGTGAGGCTGACCACTAGCCTCTAGCCAGTGCCAAGGTCAAGAAAATGTGGATCTTCACATCCACTCCCCCACATGCTTTCATGGTAAAGTGCTTAATTCATTGAGCACAGGGTCAACTTTACCTCTTATTATGCAACATGAGGGAATGCTAGAGCTTATTTTTCCTTCTCATTTAATTCATGTACTGATGAAAGAATGTAGTAGACTTCTTATGCATTTATGAGAAACATGTATGAGATCAAAGCAGGACGGCACTCTACTATCCTGAATGTACTTTCACTATCTACCATATATTTGCTTAAACATAAGGATCAGTTTTATTTAATGGTCCCACAAAGTAGCTACCCTTTCTTTCTACCTGAAGATGGAGACATAGTCTGCCTCTCAAACATCATATATCCTTTTACCCAAAGCATGGATAATGTCTAAAGAAAATATTTCCAAGACAATACACACAGTACATACATTATATAACACACACACCATCAGCTAACATGAGATCTTACTGTTGCATAAGTTTACCTGGAATGTGTATGCTGCTCATTTTATTTAAAGCCATTCCTCGTACAAAACCATACAAACTGACTGTACGGTCCACTTTGGGATTCTGTCTTATCAGTTCTGGGGGAGTCAAATCCTCAAGTCTATCAGCTGAAAGAAATAAAATAAATAAAGTAATGGCATTTCTCAATAGCTTGACTTAATATAACAACAGCAGCAGCCTTTGTAATGCTTCATAAAGGACCAGAAGCTCTGCACATTACCAGTCCTGCAGGAATGGGCCATGTGTGAGGAAATTGCACTACCATAAAATGCTTGCTTATTGAACCACCATATACTGGCCACTGAATTCACTCGAAATAGTAAGGTCTTTACACTTACAAAGTAGACAACTTTCAGTCCAGTATGACATACAGGTTTACAAC